TGTAACAATTTTAGGTGTTTGGTAAAACGGATTGTTATGACAGTTATAGGTTATGTAATCTTTATTATTTCTGTAGGAAGTTGAATAATTTATTATTGATCAAAGAATCAAGATGAATAAATCAAAAAAGGAAATGTTGCCTGTAGTTTTCCCCCTTCATCATAAATTATTTTTACATTTAACTGTCTTTCAATTTTAGCCATTATATTTAACCGGAGAACTTCCTATTGGGTTTTTAATTTTAATTGAATAGAACGTTTTCTACAAATCAAACTGTTATTTATTGTTTTTACTAGCTTACAATATTTTATTTTTGTTTAAATAAATCTAACTTTGACACTTTCAAAAAACTAAATACGTCTTAAAGGTTATGTCGACTTACACTACACTTCCTACACTTGCCGGCGAGTCGGTGTGAAAAGTGTCTGCACTTTTAAAACTCAATCGCTTACCAAACGCGGCGGCACTATCTACACTTGTTTGCGCCAGTCTACCAAACACTATTAATATATAGTAGAAACCACGAGAGCTGGCAGTAAGTCATCGCTTAAAAATGGTATGAATCAAGATATGGACGTACGACTTAGATTATTACATACATTTAAATGTAGGTTATGTTAGTAGTGGAGGTTATATGTCAATCATTGTTAAAGATAGGAAAGGTTAACCAGCGAAAAAGCGTGAATACTAATTTATAATAAAGTTTTTGTAATTCGCTACGATAATGGAAGCTATAACAGTACTCAAACGGGTGCTGTAATGAGACTCCTTACAGCGATTTTGAGATTATTATGAGATTTTAGTAACATTTTATGGAACCAGTTCAAGTTGGTGACATTGGGTCATTAATTTTTCTAGTTGTCAATGTGACAATTTTTGTCTATGGATGTTTAAACACGTTCTTAGCATCGAATACAAGGTCCACAATGATGAGGACATTGACTCTGAGCAATTTCTTTTATTTTGGGAGGTGTACATCAAACATTTTTTTCAGGTGAATATATTTTGTGTTTTGACAGTTTCTAATTGTCAATTCAAAGTTTCTATTTTCAAGTGTTCCGGTGTTACCAACTGCTACATACCTATTTCCCTACATTGCCAAAATTTACATTATTTTTGTTAAAAAAAAGTATAAAAACGCGTATTACAAAAAATAGCATAAAAAACACGTTTCATAAGAAACTTGTTTTTTAATATACTATTATGTATATGACAACTTAAGAAAATGAAAAATTTGGTATCAGGATGTGACAAACCAAATGCAAGAGCGGTGAGTTTGAAATTATATGAAAGGTGTAAAATATCTATTATAATTGTTAAAATCAGTAATTTCATTCAAAATATGTTCAGGGTTTTTAATGTGGTATGATTTTATATAGTATTCCTCAAATAGGTCCATTTTTCTGGATTTATTAAGATGTTTCGAAATTGTTGGGTTGGGTTTTATTACACGCTCTTCAGGATTTTTTCAGGTTTTTTTTTAGGTTCTGAATTTGAATTTGAATTTCTTATGATCGTTTTGAAATTTTGACTTATTGAAAAAAGAAAAACTGATTAATACCTCTGATTTTTGTTAATCTCCAATTTTCAATCCGATTGCGAATGTGGTTTAAGAATCCCAACTCCTTTGATTTGACGATAACTTAATTATATTATATATATTTTCGTTTAATTAATTAATTACACAATATACTTTCAGTCGTGCCTGATGAAGGAATAAGTTATTCCGAATTTTGTAGCATCGAAAATAAATTTTAATAATAAAATATAAAGCTTCATCGTTAACCTTGAGTTTTAATAGTTCTATAGAAACATTTAGGTTTAGCCGTACGTCTCATAAGATGGCTAAACCCGAATGTTTCTAGTTCTAGTATTAGTTCTAGTTTTAGTTCAATAAAAATATTCTGTATAGTGATATTTTATGCTAGCTAGCGTTTCTAGTGGAAATTCACAGTTTATTATAATAATATAAAATTATTACAATAATTATATAAACTTAATACAAGAAGTAATTATAACTTGTAAAAGTAAACTATTGGTTAAATTGGTGAAGGTGCCGAGAATGGAGTAACTATTCAGTTTAAAATTGGTCTTGAAAGTGCTATAGTGAAACGTACCGAGTTGGTGGAGGGGTAACGGTGTCGGCGTGATGGTGGTAGTAGTGGAAGGAAAGGAGCTCTAGAGCATAGGAAGGAGTTCGGTTCCGGAAGGCGGCACCCCGGAGGAACCCCGGAGTCGGCGGACGGGGCCGAAGCGGAGAGTCGCGGGGCCGACGGGGGAGCTTGGAATCCGGTGTGTGCGGAAAGCGCTCGCTCCGGGTGAAATTGCCCGCCCCGGGGAGGAAGTGTCCCGGAGACAGCGGTATCCGCCGGTGGCCCGCTTCCGACTACAGCGGACCCAGACCACTTCACACTGGATTTATTTTAGCGCTTCGCCAACGCTACTTATAAAAATTCTTTACTCTATTCTCCTCTTTACCCCGTGCTCTTCGCCGAGCAATGAAAAGCACTGAGAATAATTAATTGGTGTATAAAAGAAATTTATTAAAAAAATTTTGTATAAAATGAGTTGTGTACAAGAAATGTTTTGGTTCAATTTCGGATTTAATCACAAATTGCGATAAAATCCGAGTTGGCGGTGGGAACATCAAGCGTCTTCGCGCTACGTAGAGGGCGCTAGCGACCGGAAACGTAGCCATGGTAACCCGCTAGGCAGCCACATCGATTGCCGTCGACGGGGCACGGTCTGGACGCCACCACCACTACCGCCAACAGTCGAGGATTCCGCGGGGATTTTGGCACCACCACCAAAAACCCCACACTAAAAATCCCATTAAGATAACTTACGACTGAGTTTGTTACTTCACTCACTTAACTTGTGACAGAAGAGAACTTCTTTTTAATAAGAAATAAATTTTAATAAAACATAAAATAAAAACAAATTTTTTTAATCAACAATTTTCCCTAACAAAAAAGACCACCTTAAGTGTTAATTCCGCTTGTCCTCAAGAACGACAAAACCACCCAAAGACCTCCTTCCTGCAAATTTCCTCATCAATTACCGATCCCACCAAGACCGTCACCAACCCCACCACCTTTCAAGTAGAAGAGAATAAAAAATGCTGAAAAGTCAAAACAAAAAACAATCGCTTCTGGTAAAGGCAAAAGGGTTAGGGGTGTTAAGGATAGCCCCCTATCGGGATAGACGACTAAAGAAAAGGGGAAAAAAGAGTCGCTAAAACGGAGAGGCTCACGTATGCAAAGGAGACAGACAAAAAGTGACAGTGCCGTAGCCAACCCTCGCGGTTGGGTGGCGTCGCGACGCCCCAATTCCGGAACGTCGATTGGCCGTCGGGTTGGAACCACGCCTACGACGGCAACGACGCCGGGGGTGATCGCAGAAAAACCCCGTCTGTACGTCATAAATGTGGCACATGTCCTACCGCGTTGATAGATGTCGTCGTGCTCGCGCTGAAAAAGATCCTTGATTCGAGTGTCGTTCAGAAATTTTTAACGAAAAACGTGTTTTTGTGATTATGGTAAATAGATCGGGATTTATAAGACGTTTACGTTAAGCAAAAATAATAACAATTTCAGAAGAATAAAAAAAACGTTTTTAAGTGTTTTCAACATGTTGGACATCAAGCCGTCGGCTGATTATCTCAGCAGGAGCTCAACCTTCAGCAACTTCTCAATGCTCTTTGCTGGTACATATTTTACATTTACTTTGGTCTTGTTTATTTTTATTTCAAAATATTGAATGCAACAAATTAGCAAATATTTTTTTATCTTTGCAGACACATCTTACAAAGGTTCTTGGAGTTCACACGCTACCTCGCAAGCACAAGGTCAGTTCACGCTTTTTAATTATTTTTTTTGAATATATTCTTAGATATTACATATATATTGCTTTTTATATATTATTGCTATATTTATATAAGCTTTCGCAATAATCAGCGATTAATATAAGACATAGATTACCACTATAAGAACAAAGAACGTAATATTAATACTTGACGTTTATTAAGTTAATGGAGATTTAACATGACCTTTATCAAGTGTTCTTGTTATTTGATTAGCTAACGCATAATGTTAGCGTTCACTTAAGTTTAGTGTTAAGTTCGCTTAAGGAAACTAACACCCATGAACAACCCATTTCAAAAACATTGACTCCAAGACATGATAAGATGATTGCACACAATATTTTAATGGCATCAAAGCAAGTCAAAACTGATTGAGTGAGTAGTAGGATGAAGCGTAGCATGGAGGTGATGCGCTATCTCCGCTTTAGCTACAATCATAATTAACAAAATTGCTAATATTAATTAATGATTATATTAAAACCTGCAAATCAGCTAAATTCGAAGGCTATGTATGGTTCGAGTGTACTTTAATCAGGGCATATACATCAACGATCTTTAACACTTCGTAGTGACTATGGTAATGTTGCTTGTAGCTTTGTAACAAGGAGAGAGGTGATCCTTAAGAATATGAAGACCCTCACTAGTTCTTGATCGCAAGAAGCTTTGAAGGAATTCATAAAATCACAAAAACAACTAAACCTAGTAGATATAAAAAGTTGACAATCATGTCATTAATTATTAAGAATCGTGTCTTGGATGCAGTCTTGTGACATTTTCTGCAACGCTCTTGCAGACCACTTAGTTTAAGACTAGACGCACTGCTAAACCCGAAACTTTCTAGTTCTAGGTCTAGTGTTAGTTCTAGTGATAGTGCTAATGTAAAATTAAATGTAACTAGACCTAGAAAAAACATTCGGGTTTAGCCGCACGTCTCGCAGGACGGCTAAACCCGAATGATTCTAGTTCTAGGTCTCGTGTTAGTTCTAGTGATAGTGCTAGTGTAAAACTAGAACTAACACTAGACCTAGAACTAGAAACATTCGGGTTTAGCCGTCTCAAGAGACGTACGGCTAAACCCAAATGATTCTAGTTCTAAGTATAGTGTTAGTTCTAGTTCTACACTTGCACTGTCAGTATAACTAACATTAGTCACTGTCACTAGAACTAACATTAGACCTAGAACTGGAAACATTCAGACATGTTATATTTTATGTGGGACAAAGTAAGTAGGTACTCCCTGGTTTTTATGGCATTGTATTTTTGTATATTGCATTTTAAGTGAAATTCACTGTATGAATCACAACCTGGTTATTCCCAAGGAGAACTTTCCTTGTTTTTATGAATCACCACATCTGAAGCAACATGCAAAATATCCTTTGATTTCTACCGATTCCAAATACAAATAATATCCATAAATAGCATCCCATTAAACAGAGAGAGTATCAATTTCTATTCTTTTCAAATCTTCCTCCATATCACCACCCATCGTTTTCTGAGCTACTCCTTATTTTTCGACCCACTGATCTCTAATTATCAACATTCCTTGTTATTGTTTCATTGCTCATTCGTCCAAGATGCCTCATCTATCGGAGTCTCCTACTCTTAACCAAACCTGACAATATCGGCATTATCTATCAGTTGTAATGCTCTAAATGTTTTCCATTGTTATCCATCCTCTGGATATGTTTCTATATCAACCTAAAACTGGTAGTCATATTATAGCGCCTCGCCCACAAGCTCTCTACATGTAGATATCTGGTGAAGTTCTCTAATAGGCAATCAGTTAGATTCCATAACAATGTATGCAAAATATTCATCAAATTTGCTTGATTTAAGGCTGTGATCACGCTATCCCAATTCGTCATATCCAGGTGAGGACTTTGTCTATTCAAGATTTCAATTATCTAGCGACTATCTTCAAGCAGATTGGTAGAACCTAATCAGTTCTGGATGAATTATATTCTTTTTAACATTACCCAACAAAGGACGTGTTTTCCAACACGAATGGTTCTCTACGTTCCCAAGAGCTCGTCTAATAGCTTGTTTACTAGAAACTAATTCTGTGTCATAATTGCCTCTTTCGGATCTCTTCCTTTTACTCATACAATTTTCATCAATTTTATAAATCTCTATTTTTATTAAAATTGTTACTGAAAAAACGACAATCTAATATTAATCACCTTTGCCTCGATTTTTGTCCAATTAACACTAAAAAAATTAGCGATTCTAATCGAAATTCACGAATTTAATATTTTTACGGCTCAATATCACGCACATTTCTAGAATTTACTTAAGAGTGTAACCTAACGTGTCACGCACAAGCTACATAAATTGGAGATAAAATAAAAACGTGTGAAACCTGTTTATATTAATCTTTAAAAAGTGGGGTACAAAAAAGAAATGAAATCTTCTCTGCTTTCCTCATCTATCTAAACCCGGTTGTAAAAATTTCCGGATAGAACCGGAACAGTATCCGGACACCGGACCTACGCCAATAGACTTGGGTACTACTTCAGGTTTTTGAACACAAATTTTTCGATAACATAAGAAATATAATTAAATTTTCTTTTTCTATACTTTACAAAGTTATACGAGCGCTGCATATTTCGTTTTTTCAAGGGAGTACGTGTTGTCAGTAGCACTCCCGGAATCACAAAGGCTCTTCTCAACGTTAGGGCGCAACGACGCTAGGGCACAATACCATCGCCCACGGCGTTTAGTTTGCTATCCAAACTTAATAATGGCAGTCAAAGCGTCGCGACGCCCTGATTGCGACGCCTTCACGGCCCGATGCGCCGCTTCACAGACGTCGCCACCGGCGTTGGTCTTTGTACCCGAGTTTCACGGCACCCAACATTTCGCGACGATCGCACCGGAGTCGCTCCGGGCGTCCTGCTTATCTATACCCCGAAGATATCTGCCACAGACGAGGCAATGGCAAAAGGTGATTTTGCGATGATGGATTTTCTTATAAAAGAAGAACGCGATTGTTGTGGATGAAAGAAAATTTAAAGGAAATTAAGATCCTTTTTTGTATAACGTTTTCTTTGGACAAATCGATAACAAAATAGAGTATTAAAGAATAGAGAATATGATATATAATCTTAAGACACGGTTGAGTGAGCAATGTGTATTTCGAAATTAAAACGGGGCGATTCCCTTAAAATCCCTTGCAATATGCCACGTGTCGAAATTATCTCGATTTCTCTTTTGATTGACGGGACCGGCGTTGAAGCAAAATGCGGTTGAAGCGGCGTCCCGGTTCCCGCTTCCCGTTATATCCCCCTTTTCATACCCCCCGCACCGGCCGTGGAAGTCGCCGACAACGAGCGCGCCACCTAATGGAATTCCAGTGTTATCGCGAGCGCCTCTTTCCAACGCGCCCCATTATCGCTAATTCTTTCGCCGACCTGATTGGACTCCCGGAACAGGAAGGACTCCTTCCTTCCCGGACTCCCGGAGCGAATGTTCCCTTCCGATCGCGAAGACCCACGCTACGTCCAACCGGATCATTTACAACATTTTATACGGTTGTTTTTATCAAAATTCACAACCAAATTTAATAAATGATATCAAAATTATTAAGTATTTAGCATAAAGTGAATTTCACTTAAAATGCAATATACGAAAATAAATTTCCATTGAAACCAGGGCGTACCTACTTTCTTTGTCCCACATAAAATACAACATGTCTGAATGTTTCTAGTTCTAGGTCTAATGTAATAGCCCTCTCGTGATAGTTCTAGTTTTAATCTAGCACTATCACTAGAACTAACACAAGAACTAGAATCATTCGGGTTTAGCCGTCTTGAGAGACGTGCGGCTAACCCTAACACTAGACCTAGAACTAACACTAGACCTAGAACTAGAAACATTTCTTCAGACGCACGGCTAAACCCGAATGATTCTAGTTCTAGGTCTTGTGTTAGTGCTAGTGTAAAACTAGAACTAACACTAGACCTAGAACTAGAAACATTCGGGTTTAGCCGTCTTAAGAGACGTGTGGCTAAATCTGAATGTTTCTAGTTCTCGGTCTAGTGTTAGTCTGGTTATGCACTAGCACTATCACTAGAACTAATACTAGAGCTGGAACTAGAAAAATTCCGTTTATCCGTGCGTCTCTTAAGACGGCTAAACCTGAATGTTTGTACTTTTAGATCTAATGTTAGTTCCAATGATAATAGTAGGTAGTGCTAGTTAGCATAAAATATCACTGTGTTGCATACTTTTATTGCATTTGTTTCTAGTTCTAGGTCTAGTGTTAGTTCTAGCTTTACACTACCACTATCACTAGAACTAACACAAGACCTAGAACTAGAATCATTCGGGTTTAGCCGTCTTGAGAGATGTGCGGCTAAACCCGAATGTTTCTAGTTCTAAATCTAGTGTTAGTTCTAGTGACAGTGGTAGGTAGCGCTAGTTAACATAAGATATCACTATGTTACATATTTTTATTGAACTAAAACTAGAACTATCACTACAACTAACGCAAGACCTAGAACTAGAATCATTCGGGTTTAAACGTCTTGAGAGACGTGCGGCTAAATCCGAATGTTTCTAGTTCTCGGTCTAGTATTAGTTTTAGTATTGCACTAGCACTATCACTAGAACTAATCATAAAACTAGAATCATTCGAGTTTAACCGTCTTGAAACACGCGCGGCTATCCCCTTATGTTTCTAGTTCTTGGTCTATTGTTAGTTCTAGTATTGCACTAGCACTATCACTAGAACTAACACAAGACCTAGAACTAGAATCATTCGGGTTTAACCGTCTTGAGAGACGTGCGGATAAACCCGAATGTTTCTAGTTGTAAATCTAGTGTTAGAATTCCCGGTATGTGCAAATATTAAAAATAATTTTATATAATAATTAATAAATTAAAAAATAACAGCTTTTTATATCATTATGATATTCATAATTAATCTAACAAATAGATACAAAAAATCATCCAAATCTACCAAAAATACAGATATTAACAAATTATTTGAAATATACCTAAAGTAGAATAAATTTGCTTTAAAATGCTTTTTATATCATCATGATATCCCAAATAGTTCTTGAGATACGACTTATTTAATTTCATAATTAATCTAACGAAAAGAGTCTGATTGAAAAAATCATATCTACGAAGATTGTAGAAATTAATAAATTATTTATGGTACGCTTAGACTATATTAAATTTGCTTCAAAATGCTATTTATATCATCATGATATCCCAATTAGTTCTTGAGATATAACACCTTAAATCATCATCAATTTAAAACAAGTGCATATCAAGCCCGCAAAGATAAATTAAAAAAATCTTGAGAACGAGATTTACGAAAACTTAGTAATTATTTATTGTATAATCACAATTACAGTATTTTTTGTTTAAAATGCTTCTTATCTCATTAAGATATCCTAATTAGTTCTTGAGATACGACTTATTTAATTTCATAATTAATCTGACGAACAGAGCCTAATTCAAGAAATCTTATTAATAATTTATTTATTATGCGCTCAAACTAGGTTAAATTTGATTCAAAATGCTTTTTATATCATTATGATATCCCAATTAGTTCTTGATATATAACATCTTAAATCGTTGTCAATTTAAAATCAATACATATTAAGCACACAAAGGTGAATTAAAAAATCTTGAGAACGAAATTTACAAAAGCTAAGTAATTTTTGGTGCTATATTAGAACTATATTATTTTTTGTTTAAAATGGTTCTTATTGTATTAAGATATTCCAAATAGTTCTTGCGATACGATTTGTTTAATTTCATAAGTAATTTAAAAAACAGTAATTGGTTAAAAAAATCATATCTACCAGGATTGTAAAAATTAATAAATCATTTATGGTATGCTTAAACTAGATTAAATTTACTTCAAAATGCTTTTTAAATCATTATGATATCTCAATTAGTTCTTGAGATACGACGTTTAACATCACTGTCACTTTAAAACCAACATAAATATAAAGCGAGCAAAATTGAGTGCTATTTACAATTTTTCTTTGATATTTTACTAAAATAGGGAACCAAAAACGGATTATTCAGTAGGCGGCTCAAGTAACACCCCTTTAACAGAAAAGGGGGCCGTGGGGGCGGCTACGCCTCGGGCCGCCTTTGATCTCTACGTGTTAACAATCACGGCTCACTAAATTTCGGCTGTCGTGTGCATGACAATCGGATTGCGTGAGCCTGGTTGCTGTCCGCAATCGCGTACCGAATACGTAATCACCCTCATCTTCATAAATCTTCGCGTGTGACAACAACGCGTTAATGCTTTAAAATAGCGGCGTCGCGAAGTCTACCTCTTACGGAGACGCGTTAACCATAATCAAAGGTGGAATTGATGAAAAAAAAAACATATAAGGGGGTAAAGAGAATAAAACGGTGAACATAGCGGCTTCAGGATATATTGGCAGGTTGGTTCGAGATGCGGAAAGGATTCTCTTGTCGGTTTCCACGTCGATGCTCACAAAACACGGTCCAAGTGAGCCGTGGAAACAAAAGCTAGTCGAGCGCAAAAGTTCTTTTTCTTGAAGTGATTTTCTTTGCAATGATTGATAATTGTTAACTTTTTTTTCAGGTTATGGTACAAATTCGTTGAGTGGTATGACCAAAGCATCGTTGGATCCTCATAGTCATCTTAGGCAACCAGGTAATATTTAACACTAAAATTAAGTGAATCACAACTTATTGTAACATAATAAAAGTTCTCACAACGGAAACATCTCCATCACTCATGATAACGGTGCCGTCTCCACACCATTGCTTCTGGAAACGTATCGCTCGAATTCCTCTGGACGCTTTATCAAAATGCGTAACGGCTTCTCTTGTATAGCAATATGTTCCCCGGCGTTTCGGAAGGGGGAAAGTCCCGACACGCGGTGGCGCCTCGCGGCCACTCGTGCGCATCATACGCACTCAATCAGCACCCCCTATTGTCCGCACAGCCCCCAGATCGAGATTTCAGATACGCATTATACGACCTGATTTTCTTTTTTTGTTTCGAAGTTTCGTGTTTCTGCCCAGAAAAAGGGAAGTCCGTTATCGTTATCGTTAATGTCTGTAGTTGAGGGAACGGAATTGGTGGATACGGATTTAACGGCAAATTGATTTTTAGGCTGTTGTTTGTAATTTTGAAAAAGTGAAATAAAACGGGAAATATCTTAAGAACTGACGTATCAGGGGTGTATAGGCTTTTTCGGCGAAAAGTATCACGCGATTTTTATGTTCTCTTTGCCTATTACTTTGAAATCACGAAACGTTAACGTCGCCGAGCAATTTTCCGGACAACTCTCGTAATAACTTTCTGGGAAATACGAAAAATATATTTCGACTCCCTTCCAAAACTCAATCGATTTCTCATGTGTATTCTCATGTGATTTTACGCGCCCATGTTTGCCAAGCGCTACTTGTCCTAATGCACCAGTAGCTTCTGTCAACATAAGATATTGGGTAATCGATTTGGCTGCTATGACTAACATAATCCCAACGTCTTCTTTTCGGTACGTATAAAATCGAGAAAGCTTACAATTAAAGCTCAAATACATCATCTGAGTCGTTTAGCCAACTAAGTACATGTATGCTAATTTGACCTAACTTTGAACTAATTAATTTGACCAGATTAGAAAGAACACAATGATTTACCGCTAGTAGTAAAAATAAGATATATGGCTAAACCCGAATGTTTCTTGTTCTAGGTCTAGTGTTAGTTCTAGTTTTACACTAGCACTATCACTAGAACTAACACAAGACCTAGAACTAGCATCATTCGGGATTAGCCGTCTTGAAAGACGTGCGGCTAAATCCGAATGTTTCTAGTTCTAAGTCTAGTGTTGGTTCTACTTTTACACTAGCACTACAACTAGAACTAACACAAGAACTAGAATCATTCGGGTTTAGCCGTCTTGAGAGACGTGCGGCTAAATCCGAATGTTTCTAGTTCTAGGTCTAGTGTTAGTTCTAGTTTTACACTAGCACTATCACTAGAACTAACACAAGACCTAGAACTAGAATCATTCGGGTTTAGCCGTCTTAAGAGACGTGTGGCTAAATCCGAATGTTTCTAGTTCTCGGTCTAGTGTTAGTCGAGTTATGCACTAGCACTATCACTAGAACTAATACTAGAATCATTCGGGTTTAGCCGTCTTAAGAGACGTGTGGCTAAATCCGAATGTTTCTAGTTCTTGGTCTAGTGTTAGTTCTAGTTATGCACTAGCACTATCACTAGAACTAACACTAGAGCTGGAACTAGAAAAATTCCGTTTATCCCTGCATCTCTTAAGACGGCTAAACCTGAATGTTTGTACTTTTAGATCTAATGTTAGTTCTAGTGATAATGGTAGGTAGTGCTAGTTAGCATAAAATATCACTGTGTTGCATATTTTTATTGCATTTGTTTCTAGTTCTAGGTCTAGTGTTAGTTCTAGTTTTACACTACCACTATCATTAGAACTCACACAAGACCTAAAACTAGAATCATTCGTGTTTAGCCATCTTTAAAGACGTGCGGCTAAATCCGAATGTTTCTAGTTCTCGGTCTAGTGTTAGTTCTAGTTTTGCATTAGCATTATCACTAGAACTAACAAAAGACCTAGAACTAGAATCATTCGGGTTTAGCCGTCTTAAGAGACGTGCGGCAAAATCCGATTGTTTCTTGCTCTCAGTCTAGTGTTAGTTTTAGTTTTGCACTAGCACTATCACTAGAACTAACACAAGACCTAGACTTAGAATCATTCGGGTTTAGCCATCTTGAAACACGCGCGGCTAACCCCTTATGTTTCTAGTTTTCGGTCTAGTGTTAGTTCTAGTTTAGCATTAGCACTATCACTAGAACTAAGACAAGATCTAGAACTAGAATGATTCGGGTTTAGCCGTTTTGTGGTACGTGCGGCTAAACCCGAATGTTTCTAGTTCTAAGTGTAGTGTTAACAGTGACAGTGGTAGATGGAGCTAGTTAACATAAGATATCACTGTTGCATATTTTTATTGAACTAAAACTAGAACATTCGGGTTTAGCCGTGCGTCTTCAGACGGCTAAACCCAATACTTTCTAGTTCTAGGTCTAGTGTTAGTTTTAGATTTACATTAGAACTAACACAAGACCGAGAACTAGAATCATTCGGGTTTAGCCGTCTTGAGAGACGTGCGGCTAAACCCGAATGTTTCTACGTTTAGTTACATTTAATTTTACACTAGCACTATCACTAGAATTAACACTAGACATAGAACTGGAATCATTCGGGTTTAACCGTCTTGAAACACGCGCGGCTATCCCCTTATGTTTCTAGTTTTCGGTCTAGTGCTAGTTCTAGTATTGCACTAGCACTATCACTAGAGCTAACATAAGACCTAGAACTAGAATCTAGGCGAGTCTCTTAAGACGGCCGAAAACTCAGAGTTATCATAAGGACGTCAATAATAATAAGAAAAACACAATCGATTTCTCATGTGATCTTACGCGCCCATGTTTGCCAAGCGCTACTTGTCCTAATACACCATATTTGGCTGCTATGACTAACATAATCCCAACGTCTTCTTTTGGGTACATATAAAATCGTGAAAGTTTACAATTAAAGCTCAAATACATCATCTGAGTCGTTTAACCGACTAAGTACATGCATGCAACTAATTAATTTGACCAGATTAGAAAGAACACAATGATTTACCGTTAGTAGTAAAAAGCCCCGTTATGAAATTTGACACAGAAACATGAAAGGATACCGAAGGTAAGGCCCGAAATAAATAAATAAGCGATATCTGGACTGCTGCCGGGTTTCGCTCTATTTCTATTCGCGCACGTCCATTATTTAACTGCGCCTTATCTAAAGGGCGTATCTCGCGTGCTGCTCGACTGTCTGACGGCAGCAACGGCGGCGGCGACTCTTCGACCCCAGTAAACCGTGAGTGTGACCCTCGCGTGACCCAACCCCCGGTGCAGTCCCACCTTCGAGGCCCTTATCCATTAAAATCCTTCGATACAAACAGTTATTTTTTTCTTTGCCAACCGCGAAATCTCGTCGATAAACTACAAAGACTAAGATTATCTCTTTCCTACTGTTTATAGAGGTCACAGACACGTTTTTAAATCAAAAAAAGCCACAACATGAAATGAAATGATGATATCAGAAATTCATCTAACGTTCTGATAATAGGGCGTACGTGAAAAGGCAAACAAATGACCCGTTGATTGAACCCCGTAAGACAAGATACTATGGGGGCGGCGAGGTTAGGGTGCGTTAATGCGACAATCGCCCGTTGGGCTGCTGTCAAAACGACAGCGCCGCTTCGGGTGCAATCAGGTAATTATCGACTTGGGGTCGTCGGGTTATTAGACCCCCGGGTCTCACCCCATACACCCCACCTATCCAACAAAAATCAGTTTACGCGATTCTATTGCCGGGGAGATTTCGGCCCTGTTTTTCCTTTGTAGTTCAATTGACGATCAAAGATTCCAAAATTTCATTTTTGGTATAAAAGTAACAATAAGACAAGTTTAGGGGATGATACAAAAAACGACAAGAATGCGCCTTTTAAAGGTTTACGTTCCCAAAGAATCCAAATTGATTAGTCTCTCTTATTACCTTCTTCACTAAACCACCCCTTTCTCCAACCCTTACAGACGAAGTAGAGATCGTACGTTTCAAGAACACTCATTCGGTCAACGAAACCGTTCTCGCCCTCGGGCATCTTTGATTGACCCAAAGGGTCATTCACGTCACCTAATTATTCCCCTTTCAGTCGTTTAGAACACAACTTCACCCACAATTAAGATCTTTGCGACAAACAACCATAAAAATAAATCTATGACTCTATAGAAATTAATTGAAGTGGGTTATATTTTTATAAGGTTCAAATAAAAATTTATAACTATACTGATAACTAATAATTACATATGATTTAGAGATAATACATCATAATAAATATAGTTTATCTACGACTGCTTGGATAAGTCATCATTACCGCACTCATTTGAGGTGATTTGAGTTACGTAATGAAGTTCATTACCGCACTGGTTTCATTACGTAACGCATTTTTAACCTAATCAGAACAGACTTAATTTATTGAAACGAGCAACAATACAAAAGAAAAAGTGCTATCTACTTACAGAGAAACAATACTATTTATTATAAACATTAATTGTTATGTTTTTACATTTCAAAACACTTATTCCAGATGAGTAAACATGTTGTTGAAACTGACAATTCAAAATTGTCAACAATCATTTCAAAATATTTTTATAAATGTCAAATAGACTTTTTTAAAGAAATTGATTTTTTAGTAATTTTTAGCAGTCGTAGATAAAATGCTGTATATCACACGTGGGCTAGAGCATAATTACAGTACTCGTGTGATTACACGACTCGGTCTACGACCTCGTCGTGCAATTCTTCACACTCGTATAGTAATTATGTTTCTAGCCCACTTGTAATATAAATAACTATTAATTATATTTATTTAAAAGTTAACTTTCATACATTATTTATGATGAAATATTATGTGAAATCGTTAGGTTTCGCCATACATTCTTACAAACTATCCAGTTTTTTATCGACATGGTATGGATGTATATTGCAACGAAAGAAAGATTTAGAAGAATAACGTTGATTGATTTCGGAGGAAAGCAGCGTTTGGCTCATCCTATGACCACGGAATTTCGCTAAGACCACGGGTTATATTCTTTGTTATATTCTATTCAAGTTTCTTGGCTGGCAGATAACCTAACAATACATTAAACATGTTTGGCTAATTTTTTGAATCTTACAAAACCCCATATAATAACCAATGATTACCGATCTGAATATAGGAAGATATGTACACCATAAGAGACATTACACAGAAATATTAAGCTCTGTGGAAGATGCCTATAAAAAATCGAGGAAGTCTTTGTAGTTAGACACCATGAGAATCAGCCTCACTCAGAGCAACTCTAAGAAACCCTCCTTCGGATGAGACAATTAATACCCAGCTGGCCCATGTAATAGGCAAAGGCAGGAAGGAGGTTATTTCTTACCGTAATGTAATTTTGGCTTGACACAACATCATTTTTTCACCACCTATGCTCTCGCTGCCAGCTTCTTCAATACTAACCACTGCTACTATTTCACACGCTTCTTCGCGAATTAACAAGCAAACTATCAGATATTTTGTTTTCTAGTCTACGTAACATATCCTAGAAGGATCAATATGTTATCAAACAGGTTATCTTGAACATGTAATGGTATGCTCAAAGTACCTCGAAAACACTAATTACAGACTTATAACACGACAAAAGCGCCAGACCTGAATATGATGAACTATTCCGTGTGGAATATCTTAAAGCGTTTGCGTTTGGTTAATTCTAACAAAAAAAATCTAATTTAGAGCGAACATAAAATTAAAATTTTAATAATTTTTCTTTTGTTACAGATCCATACCAGATGTTTGGCCCAACGAGTAGTAGACTAGCGAGTTCAGGTGAGCGATGAATATTAATAAGGAGGTGAAATCGGACAGCACCTGCCCGGGCCGAATCAATGTTGCCCGCCGTGACACGCGTTTCCTTCCGGCCGGCGATCATATTTACAAGTTAAATGACATATTTGACTTTGTAATAAGCCGCCGGCAACGTGCTCAAGTTCTAATTGTAGCCGCGCGCCTGCCAACCCGAAATTATTCTTCGTGCGAAATAAAAGGGAAAACGGGGGTGGTGCCACTGTTTGTTTTTATGGGACTTTAATTACCTGTGAAACCGTGTGCCCCTAAGCGTGGGAAAGATTTAGTTAGTCATGATTTAGTAATTATTTTCTAACGGTTTTATATCGAAATAACTTTTAATACATATTATCTTCAGTAATAGAATTATACATTGTTTCTAAATCCAAAGCTCTTCGTCTACTACTTTTACTACGACGAAGAAATTTCATTTTCGTTTTTAAATTCGTCCCAATTTTAGCAGAAGAATCAATTGTAAGTGATTCTTTTCGAGATTCATTTTCGATATGTTTTTGATCATTTTTACCGTTTGATGCCACTTCATTATTTTTAGTAATACATTCAATTATATTATCGGCTAAATCCCCAAATTCCTCTTCTTCCTTAACAAATTCATTAACTTGCCATTGTTGTAGCTCACCAGGATTTGTTTCCATTTCAGTTGGTGCAAACGCCGAATTAGGATCCCAAACGTCATCCCATTCCGTTGAATCTCTTTGATTAATCAATTTCTGGTGGGATGATATTTTTGGACTATTTAAAGGTACAATTCCTTCTGAAGAATTTTCTGGTTGATCTAAAATTTGGGTATTTTCCTCGTAATAATTACATTCTTTTTCTGGGCCATAACTTGGATCTGCTGTTGGTTCTTCGTGAAGTTTTGGCAATGGACTGAAATGTTTTGAATTCGCTCCTTGGGTTTTTTTTGTTGGGGGTGCTAAAAGTATATTAAAAATAATTATGTTGATTTAATGGATGCAAATACTTACGCAAATAAGAAGTATCATCGGTCATATCGATACTTGAATCTGAAAGTGATTTACAAACTGGGACATCCGGAGTTTGATTTTCCGCAAAGCTTGAAATGTCTACATTAGAGGCACGACGATGTTGGAGAGAAATATCGAGGTTTTCTTCTTCTTCATTTTTCTCTAAGGTTGCGCGAGATCGAGGTTTTTTATTTATACTTGAATATGTTCGTGGTTTATTTAAATGGGGGGAAGGAGATTTTGTTATATTCCTAATTGGTTGTGATGTTACGGGGGAAGTTTTATGCGTTTTCTTCTGTCTTGTAACATAATTCAGCTCTAATTGAGTTGGAGATAAATTTTTTTTCAAACCATAACTTCTTGGGAATTGATCCACGTTAGTATCACGAGAACTATATCTTGATAACGGCTTCCACGAACATTGTGCGGACATTTCGTCAAAATTATCTAAATCTTGATGAAATTTTTGCATCCTTGGTGATCTAGCACTCGTCTCAGTATCCCCATCGAATGGTATTTGATCGATATTCCCACTTTTATCCATAGTACCAGCGAATGGATAACTTCTCCTCAATCTGGTTGGTTGCGTTGCATATTCAGGAGGAGGAGGTAACCTAAAATCAACATTATTTCCGTTTCCCCTTCTCTCGTTATACGATAAAGGAAACGGAAGATAAGGTTGGTAATAATCGCTTAATCCATGATTCACAAAACTTCTTATGTTACTGTAATCGTGCATATCGTATAATTGAGAAGTAATCGGCACAAAATTAGATCTCTCAATTCTTTTCCCATACACCGGCGAGGGAAAATTTAAATATGGGTTAAGATACTGACATCTAAGATCTGTATTATCTCTATAATTAGATGGTGCTAGATGTGGATATCGTCTAAGAACATCGGCGTAATGCAAATTCCTATCATAATTGCTATATTCTGGATAAGCACTCCCGGATCTCTCCATTCTTGGTTGAAACGCGAAAAAATTATTATCGGGATCAAAATAAGTTTGAGTTTGTTTATCTTGAAAACGAACGTTCTTAACTGAATTAAAATCACAATTCCACGCCATCCCAGGTTTAACACGTCCATAATAAGGCGAGGTAAAATAATCCCCAATCTGCCTTTGAAAATAACCACCACCATCATCAAAATGTCCCAAGAAATCCTGTTCATTTCTAATTAACGGAGAGTACGGTCTTCCATAAAGCCTTCTTTCTCTTTCAATTAGATTAAACAGCACATCTTCCTCGTCCAAGTCATTGTCTTGAGATCCGAAAACTGACATATTCGACCTCCCAGATGCGGTATAACCCGAATTTGGTATTTCTTTCGTTCTATTAACGTAAGGGTCGGACATTCTCGCTAATTTAGAACTATAAATTTAGAAAAGTTTATTGTCACCACATAAAATCGAATATTTCAAAACAAAAATGTGCCAGTCATTTTTGACATTGACCCGTTTCGCTCGGAAAAGTCATGGTGAGTAAATAACCGTTTCCACGTTATAGTCGATGTGTATATCCCATTATACGCGACCACAAATCAAGTCGTCCGGTGCCGGGCCCGTAACGGTAATTTATAAAACAATCGCATGCGGACGGGATCGAACGTGCCCGGTCACGTGGTGCCAACGTGCAGGTCGTAGCAGGCCGTTCATTAAACGCGCATTAGGGGAAGCAATTTTGACGGCAGAAAATCTGGCCGCTATTACTCGACCTCGCCCATTTTCCACCACCAGTTCGTTCAATTTTATTTGCATTAGGGGGCTCTCTATCGCAGGTAGCGATAATTATTTCTTTGTTTTTTTGTACTGGTAATATCGAAATTTTGACAACATGATTGACACATTTAACATATTTATTCAAATAAGTAATATAAGACAGTTTTGTTCACACTATGAGTGCATGTATCTCGATTACTCAGGGTGAGTAATGAGTTTGGTGATGTTGATTAAGTTGTAGAGCTGGGGTTATTTTATGATTCCAATCATTACACTGCTACCACCACTCGGAAGCTTTTGATGTCCTATACGAATTGCTTCATTTCCTAGAAGTTGGCCAATAATCTTCTTTGTTCTTTTCAATATACTTGGGGCCGTAGACAACATCGGTGAATGAGCAACTATCTTTTGCAACCATCCAATGAGCAATTTAGACTTATAGGCATGTTTAATTGCTAAGCACCAAACTATGGCTACGTGAGCTACCATGGGTCTTATCACAGACGTATGGATTCACATTGTAACCCTCGGATTTAGTCTCAAAGTTTGAATAAGGAAATAAAAGACAATATTTGAACTTCGCACTTGCATAAATTGTTTAATTTAAATCGGTACCGGTTTCGAAGTATATTACTTCATCTTCAGCCGAAAACTATATATAAAAGTAAAATGCTAAGATTAATCTAAGTTACAAAATATAAATTTATAGAATACTCACTGTCAAAAGGTGAAGCCAACAGGCTGATTCATTTGAAATTTGAAAAGTTTGAAAAGTTGAAAAAATTTTTTAATCATAAGTAACATCCAAAGTATAAAATGCGTCGTTAATCATTACAAAAAAACAAAATGGAGGTAATGTAAAACGTGAAGCGTGTGATAAATTTGTAATGAAATCTAAAAATAATAGTATAAAATAGATGAAAGTAATAGAATTATTACATAAAACCACTTACGAATGAAAAGCGATGATTGTATAAAAATATTCTTGAAAATTACGTGTTAAAAGTTAAAAATTACATGTGACCATCTTGGCGGAGCGAGAAGAAGAGACTGGTGACCGAAAACGAGAATTACAAAGCGGAAACAAAACCGGAAAAAAAATTTTAAATTTTTAAACTGAAGTTATTTAAATATGAAAAGATGGGTTTACGGAAGAGTTGAAGTTGATCATTCATGAGGTGATATTTATTATTATTTTTATGTTTAGTAATTTCTAAGATTTCAAGAAAATCTAATTTAGTACTTTTATCACATGAATGTAAAAGTTCAACTCCTCCATAATCTATTTTATGACCAGTTTCTATGTGGTGTTTGAAGATATTAGAATTAGCTTTTGTCTTGTGTTCTCGGATTCTGGTCTCCAGTCTCCTCCCCGTTTGTCCAACATATACATTGTTACAATTAAAGCATCTGACCAGATATACATCGCTCTCTTTAGAAATATCAAAAACTTTTTTAGTATGATTAGTAAGTAAATTTAAAATGGTGTTACGATTTGAAAAGGCTATGTTGATGTTGTAATTGGAAAATAATTTATGAAATTTATTAGTTAAAGCGTTAAATTGTAGAGGTTTATATGTTAAAGTGTCTGTATTGTGTTTTGTGAATAAAGGATCTTTTTGTATACGTATCATATTAAAGAGATGAGTAATCTTGCCAATAGGGAAACCATTGTCACGGGCCAAATTAAAAATAAAATCTATTTCTTTAATTCTATTACTTTCAGAGAGAGGGTAATCAAAAATTCTATTAATGAGAAAACGAAAGTTAGCAAATTTGTGTTGATTAGGGTGTGATGAAGTGTATGGAATAGTGGTAGAAATAGAAGAAGGTTTTCTATAGATGTTGTATTCAATATGGCTATTATTGTTTTTAATTAATGTTAGATCTAAAAAATTGATAGTATTATCTTTTTCAATTTCGATTGTAAATTT